GGCGACTTTCTCGATCAGCTGGTATCGGGCCTCCGGGCCGTGGAGGGCTTTACTAGTGAAGTAAATGGGCTTTTGTCCTTCCCCGGCTTCGCTCACGAGGACGGCGCTGACGGCTTCGTTAGAGACGGCCAGATACAAATACAGGGTTTCGCCCGTCGCGGGGCGCGTCAGTACTGGCGGTTCGGAGAGGACGCGTTTGAGGTGGCGAAGGGCTTTCTCACACTCGTCCGTCCATTCGAACTTGGTCTCTTTCCTGAGCAGTTTGAAGAACGGGAGGGCGTGTTGGGCCGATCTCGCGATGAATCGCGAGAGGGAGGCTAGCACGCCGTTGAGGGACTGGATGGCACGCTTCGTGGTCGGCGTGGTTATATTGGAGAAGGCGTGGCATTTGTCCGGATTGGCTTCGATCCCCCGTTCGGTCAAGTAGTAGCCGAGGAATTTGCCGGCGCAGACGCCGAAAGTGCATTTTTCCGGGTTAAAACGCATGCGACATGATCTCGCGGTCTTGAAGACCTTCTGGAGGTGTGTCGCGTGGTCGTCTTCCGCGCTGGATTTGACGATCATGTCGTCCATATATACTTCGAGCATGTCCCCGATCTCGTCGCGGAAGACGTGGTTCATCATCCGTTGGTACGTGGCCCCGGCGTTTTTGAGGCCGAAGGGCATCACGTTGTAATAGTAATTGCCCGATGCTGTCATGAAGGCCGTGGCTTGTTTGTCGTGTTCGGCCATCGGGATCTGGTTGTATCCCGAGTATGCGTCCATGAAGGATAAGAGTTTGTAGCCCGCCGAGTTGTCGACGAGCTTGTCGATATTGGGGAGGGGGTAGGCGTCCTTAGGACATGCCCGGTTGAGGTCAGTGTAGTCAACACACATGCGCCATTTTCCATTATTCTTTTTAACAAGTACAACGTTGGACAGCCAGGTGGAATACCGGTCTTCCGAAATAAAATTTGCCTCTAAGAGGTCTTTTACAGCTTGTTCGGCTGCTGCCGATTTTTCGGGGGACTGGCGACGTCGGCGTTGTACCACGGCCTTTGCGGTTGGGTTGATGGAAAGCTGGTGGCAGGCGACCTCAGGGTCGAGTCCCGGCATTTCCGCGGCGCTCCAGGCGAAGAGGTCGGCATTCTCGCGAAGGCAGGCTTGGAGCTGTCGTTTCGCGAGGTCTGGGAGTCCTGCGCCTAGCCTCACGGTTCTGGTCGTGTCTTCCCCGAGGGGAATGAGTTCGAATTCGCCATCCGGGATGGGGCGCGCTGGGTGCGGGGGCTGCCCGTTGGCCTCGTCGGTCTTTTTGTTGTCGAGCTCGTCGGTGAAGCGACTGTCGAGCTCAACGGATCCGACCAGCTCTGTTGGTTTGTCCTTTGGTGTGGCGCTTGGCGCTTTCTTTTTGGTCGGTGGGGCGATGGAGTCGAGGCCTTTCAGCGCGGCTTCGAAACACCTTCGGGCAGCTTCGATGTCGCCGTTGAGGGTGACCACGGCTCCCCTTCTCGTGTAATATTTCATCTTCAGGTGGACGGTGGAGGGTACCGCGGTGAGTTCTGCTATCGTCGTCCTGCCCAGGATGCAGTTATATAGGGACGGGCATTCGATGACTAAGAAGCGGACGCTGATGTCCCTGGCCGTTTCCTCTTCCCCAAAGGTGACTTTCAGTTCCACGTATCCCCAGGGTCTCGTCGTCGTCCCGTTGAACCCCTGGAGGTCGGAGCCTACGTAGGGGGAGAGGTTGGATTCGTCGAGCTGGAGAGTTGTGAACAGATGCGAGTACATTATGTCAACCGAGCTCCCGCCGTCGACGAGGAGGCGCCTGACGTCGAAGTTTGCCATTCGGGCACGTATGAGCAAGGGTATGTTGGAATTGGGAGATCCCCCGGGTAGTTCCTCGAGGTAGAATGTGATCGGGTTGGAGCGGCCCCGGAATTTGTCGAGCGTGCTCATCTTGCCGGAGTTGCCCGCGATGAGTTCGTCGAATTTCCTTTTCACAGATCCTATGGACAGACTCCTCGTGGCTCCATCAGAGATGACCATGGCTCTGGGGAAGTACTCCCATCGGCTGGTTGGTCGGATTGGCTCGTCGACTAGGCTGGGTCCTTCGGGGATGCCGAATCCTCTGCTCGCGAACCAATCCTCGGGGCGGCTGACGCACAACGCGACCTGGAGTCTCCCGCTGTCCTCTGGAGAGGGGAGTTCCTCGATTTTCTTAGCCTCCGGAGCCTCTGACCTGGGTGGTTCACCTCCTCGGGTGTATCGCTTTAGGTGCCCGTCTTTGATTAGGATTTCGATCGCATCTTTGAGATGGATGCAGTCTTCCGTTACGTGCCCGTGGGTCCTGTGGAATCGGCAGTATTTTGACTTGTCCACGTTAGGTTTGGGCGGCGTTGGTCGTGGAAAACGGACACCTCCCTGCACAAACTCGGTTTTAGCGCATTCGGCCAGTATGCGTTCGCGTGAAGCGACCAAGGCGGTGTACTCTGTGAATCTTCCTGCCGGGCCGCGTGGCTCGCGCTGTTCGCGGGGTTCGCGGGGACGGTCTTCCCGACAGCGGTCCCCTCCTCGTCGGTGGCTCGAAGCTCCGTCGTCTCGGTGCCCGCGGGGGGCTTCTCTGTCTCGGGTGTCGCGAGCGGAGTTGGTCGCTTGTGTTTCCTCGAACCGGATGTAATGCGCGGCCCTGTCGAGGAAGTCTTGGAGGGACGTGGGCCGGTGTATGCCTACGGCCTCGTAGAATTTGGAGTCGTGGCGCAGGCCTTGTTCCATTAAGTAGCGTTTCATTTCGTCGGAAGTCGTCACCTGTACGGCTTCTCGAGTAAACCTTTCGATGTATTTCCGGAGAGGTTCGTCGGGGCCTTGGATGATTGCCCCGAGGACTGCTTCCGTCTTCGAGTGACGCCGGGACGCCGTGAAGTGTTTGGAGAATAGGTCCTTCAAGACCCTCCACGACGTAACTGATTCGGGCTCCAGACTTTTGTACCAGGTCATAGCGCCTTTCCTCAGAGTCGTCGGGAAGAGTCTGCATTTAATAGCTCCCCGGACATTTCGGTAGTCGAGCATAGCCTCGATATCTTCCAGATGATCGTCCGGGTCGGAGGTGCCGTCGTACGTTGACAGCGTCGGTGGTTTCTCCATTCCCTGGGGTATGGGGGCTGCCATGATCTCCCGGGATAGTGGGGTGCGGTAGTCATCCTCGTCGCTGCGCGCCGGGGATCTCAGGGGAGATGAGCCGTTCGCGGTGTGTCCCGGGTTTCGGGTCCTTGATCTTCGGCCTGAGTTCCCGCCTCGGGGTTCCTCGGTTGGGATCTCCGCGGCGTTCTGGTTCCTCCCGCGACCGTGTCTCGCCGGGGATCTGGTACGCTCCCGTGTCGCCTGCGGGCGGTGTCTCTCCAGCCGTGGCCGGCGGTTCCTGAGTCGAGGTGAGGGGCTCCTCGAACCTCCGTTCTGGTCTTCCCGCTGGGGGTACCTCGGGGAGCCGACGCGTTCCAATGCTCCAATTCTAGCGTTCTGTTGGAACAGCAGCTGGTTCGTCTGGTTGATGGCTGCAAAGAGAGCGGCTACCGTTGGGTCTGCTCCCGCCGGGATGGGAACGGGGTGGAATGTTGGCGGGCTCGGGGGGCGGTGGTCGGCCTGTAGGGGCCGTTCCTCGGATGATGGTGAAGCAGTTCGCCCGTCCCTTTCGTCGGCTTCCGTTAGACGCGCCGTTCCTGCCTGTTTCCCGTTGGTGGCGGTGTTGAGCGCAAGGTCGTGCGGAGTGTCATCGCGGCGTGGGCTGGCCATGACCGTGGAGGTTTGGTGAAACTTTTGGTTTTCTGCTCGGAGTAACGGGGAAGTTTCAGGTTCCCACAGACGGCGCCACTGATCTGATCTGATCAGGAGGGATCACGGACTGGCCACACTCCGTTGGGCTGTTATCTGTTCGCCGGGGTGAGAAAGAGGAGGGGGGTGTACCTGCAAAGCACTCCGACGCCCAAGTAAGAAGTTGGACAGAGAGGAAGCAATAGTACAGAAAAAGGGGCAAGAAGAGTTACCTGACCCTCTTGAAGAAGAGGGTATTTATAGAGAGACCCCAGCGCTGGGCCAACGGTCATTCGAGATGGGCCGGACGACCAGGCCCAACCCTAATGACTGCTAGGGCTTACGTGGCGTAGTGAAGACCAGGTCATGGTCTTCGCCCTAGTTCAACCGCTCCTAGGTCTCCGGAAAGTGGGTTTGACCTGCTCTTTCGGAGGTGGGCGGTTGGCCGATGACGTGTCCCCGCGGAGGGGAGCACGTGGAGAACGTGCGCCGAGCACGTTATTCTCCCCGCGGAGGGGAGCCCGGGTGGTCCTGCTCGTCCGGCGTGACGGACGACAAAAAGGACGTGGAGATGTAGCTTGTGCCCGGCGGCCAGTCCTGCTCGTTTGAAGGGGCGCGTGCCAGGCGTGCCCAGTTCGCTTGTTGGGCCGCATTTGGTATTGGGCCTGCCGAGGTGAGGCCCATACCAGAACACTTTCTAACTTCATAAACAAATGGATTCTGTTTTTGATAGTGGCTTTCCCTGATGAAATTCAAGCTCAATATGTCGGGGATATTATCATACAGGGAAAGAATATAAACATATACTATATTGTTGCAAATCAAAATCTCAAATTTTGCTCTTTTTTAAATAGATGTAAGAGAATTCAATAAAGCAGATTGCTGTGAAACACTGAAAAATGAAGACGATTTCAGCCGTTTGGTTAAAAACCCTTATTACAACTCCCTTTCAAAAGTAAATTTCCATCACAAGAACAAATTTAATTGTTGATATTACAAAAGCCTCGACAAAAATCAAGTACTCGGCCTGCACTAGCACTTCTTAATATAGTGATTACAGTTCAATAAAGATCTGAGGCTAGACTATGGCATTCACTTTTCTGTTGACGACGACTGAGTATACTTTTCATTGGGCAAAACTTAGTGCACACTACAATTCTATTTAGAGTATCCTTTAATCAAATAGGAAGCAATTATCAATGTTGTGGTAAAGCAATTTATCTTGGTGTTTTGTTCTTATCTTCGGTTCTTCCCTCTGGAGGATGAGACAGGAATTGCAAGATTTTCTGAATCTGAACAACCTCAACTCGGAATTTTTCTGCAATCTGGTGAACATCCATAGGTCCATTGTGATCATCGGCTTTTCCTTCATGCAAGAGGATGATATGGCGCAATTGTGCTACATTTAAAGTGTCTGCAGGAACCGGCCTTTCCTCGTATTGACAGAATTTGGTTTTGTATTTCGCAATTTTGGCATGGGCCTATTACGCTTTTCAACCACAGATGCCTGTGACAATATCATAAAATAGTAAGATGGGTTTGTCTCAATAAACTATGCACAATAAAAACATGCGTTGACATTTGAAACTGTTAGTCACTGGTAAGAGATAAGATTTACTTGGGCAGATTTCTTTTCATCAGAAATATCATTGAACTTAATACATGATAGAGAATTATGGCATCATTCAAACTATGTAACCAACCGCACAAGTTTTGGTGGTTTATTCTTCCTTCTATCGAATAGAACAAGCCAATATACAGAAATGGGATTTCCTCAGTCTTAAAAATGTCCATAATACTATCTTCTCAGCTAGCATACAAAGATCAACATTTAATACTATTCCATCACAAAAGGGTGAAGAGGAAATAAATTGTACGTATAAAAACACTATACAATGTATGGAAAAAAGAAACTATAAAATGGCAGAGTAAGAGTTCAATGGGGTAAGCATACATTACACGCAACATCAAAGAATTTCTGCATCAATTTCAACTACACAAAAGGAACAAGTGTAACTTTAACGAGTCTAGTTTTGCGGCGTTGGAGGCTCCCTGTTAATCGTGGTAGAGTCGGAGAAGTGTTTTTCTTAATCGAAAATCAATCAGATGAGGAGAATCTCCTCTTTACTACTGAAACAACCTTCTCCTTCCTCACACATCCACTTCTCCTTTCCCCCTCACCTCCAAACTCATTCCCCACACAACCACAATGCCACGCCGCCACCACCTTCCCATTCATTTCTCCACTCCTTCAAAACCCTATCTCTCCCTCCCCCAGAACTCGTCGAACCTTTCTCCGACCTCTCCGACGTCGTTTCCTCTAAACAAAACCTCCAACCCTCTCCATGGTTTACACAAATCCTCAACCTCCTCGACAATTCACCATCCATGGAATCAAACCTCAATTCCTTCTGCCGTCAATTTCTCATCACTCTCTCCCCCTCCTTCGTCGCCCACACTCTCCGTTCCCTCAACAACCACCACACCGCCCTCCGTTTCTTCACCTGGGCTTCCAACCAACCTAACTACTCACATTCCCTCGATTGCTACGTTTCACTAATCGACCTCCTCCTCTCTCCCTCAACCACCACCACATCAACCGCCGCAGCAGCATTAAATGTTTTCGCAGAACTTCAACGCAACTGCCTCCCGCTTACATCCCTGTCCGCCAATTCCCTCATCAAAAGCTTTGGTAACGCCGGCTTAGTGAACGGGCTTCTCTTGGTATGGCGGGGAATGAACGAACAAAACATCCAGCCGAGTCTTTTCACTTACAATTCGCTTCTTAACGGACTCGTTGGTTCGTCTTTTATTGAATCAACTGAGCGTGTTTTCGACGCGATGAAAGAAGGAAGAATAAAGCCTGATGTGGTAACCTACAATACTTTGATCAAAGGGTATTGTAAAATTGGGAAAACACGCAAGGCGTGTGAGATGGTTTGCGAAATGGAGGCAATTAACTTGGAACCGAATGTTGTTAGTTATATGACAATAATGCAGGCTTGTTATGCTGAAGGTGATGTTGATTGTTGTTTGAGTCTTTACCATGAGATGGAGGATAAGGGGTTTGAAGTTCCTTCTCATTGTTATAGTTTGGTGATATGCGGGCTTTGTAAGACGGGGAAGGTTTTAGAAGCTTATGCTTTGTTTGAGAATATGATGAGAAATGGTTGTAAGGGTAATAAGGCTGTTTACACTGCTTTGATTGATTGTTATGGGAAGAGTGGGAATTCTGATGGGGCTTTAAGGTTGTTTGAGAGGATGAAAATGGATGGGATCGAACCTGATGAGGTTACTTATGGGGCTATTGTTAATGGATTATGTAAGAGTGGGAGAGTGGAGGAAGCTTTGGGTTATTTTCGGTTTTGTAATGAGAATGGTGTTGTTGTCAATGCTGTTTTTTATTCTAGTTTGATTGATGGACTTGGAAAGGCAGGGAGGGTTGATGAAGCTGAGAAGGTGTTTGATGAAATGGCTGAGAAGGGTTGTCTTCCGGATTCATATTGCTATAATGCGCTCATTGATGGACTGTGTAAGTGTGGGAGGATAGATGATGCTCTAGCTCTGTTTAAAAGGATGGAGTGTGATGGCTGTGAGCATACTGTGTATACATTTACTATACTTATCAGTGAGCTTTTTAGGGTGCATAGGAATGAAGAGGCGGTCAAGATGTGGGATTTGATGATTGACAAAGGGATAACGCCGAACGTTGCTTGTTTTAGGGCTCTTTCGATTGGATTGTGTCTTTCAGGGAAAGTTGCGAGGGCTTGTAAAGTGCTGGATGAGCTTGCACCTATGGGGGTTGTTCTTGAAACAGCTTATGAAGATATGATTGGAGCATTGTGTAAAGCCGGCCGTGTGAAGGAGGCTTGTAAGTTGGCTGATGGAATTGTGGATAGGGGTAGAGAAATACCCGGGAAGATTAGAACTTTGATGATTCATTCCTTAAGGAAAGCTGGGAATGCTGATTTGGCTATCAAGTTGATGCATAGCAGGATTGGTATTGGGTATGAACGAACGAGGAGCGTTAAAAAGAGAGTCAAGTTTCAAACCCTTGTTGACAACTGAGATATTTCAGGTAGATATCATGTGGCATTTGAAAACTGGTAAAAGGCCAAAGCCATTTTTAGTTTGAATTTGTTGGAAATTGTTAGTATTACCCCAAATGTCAATTTATTTATAAACTGGACAAAAATTGAAGTAATAATAATTTTTAGTTGCTTGGAGTCAAACGATTGCTGCTGGCCTCACCAAAATAATGCACGAGTGGGAATGATGAATTTCCAAATGTTGTACAATTATTATTATTATTATAAACTAAACATAGTATGCAGTGGCCTGATTGATTGCGTACTGTGTCTCAAACACAGGAATCGTGAACACGTCGGTATATTTGGACATGAATAGGTCAGTATGTCTTTCTTACTACTTCCCATGTGATGTAGGGGAATAAAATTCTCTTATTAAATTTGAATGAAACGGTTCTGTTTTTAGCTTTAAGAGTTCGTTTTTAGCTGTAAGAGTTTATATATTAACTTTTAAATTCACCTGAAATGACTGCTCTTGGCTTGAAGAATTCATGTTAACTTTTCATCTGTCTCTTGTGCCAATTGGTTGCTTTAGTAATTCTCATGCCCTGCGACAGCTTTGAAGAATTTATCTCGAGTTTGGATGGTTGAAAAACACTGCCATTTCAAGCCAACACATTGGAGTGTAACATGTTACTTTAACTTCCAATTGAAGTTACAATATTTGAAGAATGATGAAATCCACATTAATATTAGGACCATATTGCATGGTTTCTTTCCTTGACCATCAGCTTTAAAACATATTCTCTTCTGTGTACAGCTCCTTCTTCGCAAACCATCTCACACGCCTTGCGTGTTTTCCCAATTTTACAATACCCTTTGATCAAAGTATTGTAGGTTACCACATCAGGCTTTATTCTTCCTTCTTTCATCGCGTCGAAAACACGCTCGGCTGATTCAATAAAAGACGAACCAACGAGTCCGTTAAGAAGCGAATTGTAAGTGAAAAGACTCGGCTGGATGTTTTGTTCGTTCATTCCCCGCCATACCAAGAGAAGCCCGTTCACTAAGCCGGCGTTACCAAAGCTTTTGATGAGGGAATTGGCGGACAGGGATGTAAGCGGGAGGCAGTTGCGTTGAAGTTCTGCGAAAACATTTAATGCTGCTGCGGCGGTTGATGTGGTGGTGGTTGAGGAAGAGAGGAGGAGGTCGATTAGTGAAACGTAGCAATCGAGGGAATGTGAGTAGTTAGGTTGGTTGGAACTTGGGGCCATTTCTGGCGCTATTTCACGGACAGTGACGTCACCTCTTGATGTTATTAAAATTAGATTTCAGGCATGTTTCTACTTTCAGCTCATCACAATTTCATGTTTTTTCTTCTTAGGCTTGGTTTGGATAAAAAAATTAATTATGTCAGGATAATAGCACGAGTATTTATCATATAAGTTATTTCTATAACATAAAATAAGATCATAATTAAGACTAATTTTCATAAGCTATTTAGGAGATAGGAGAGCTTATGGTAATGTATAGAAAACAGATTATGGACTTATCAAAAAATGTTTTCATAAACTCTCTCAAACAGTCTAATAAGTGTTTTGTCAATAGAATCTCAAATAGCTTAATCTAAACACACCCTTAATGAAACATGGTTTGGATTGTTGGTGAGTTTGGCAGAGTCATCACATTGTCCTCGGACCAGTGATTTTAGCAAAAACTAAACTTTGAAACTTCAACAAAATCAGAGTGAGGGGCGCCACTTATATAAACTCTTGGCTCTATCAACGTGGGACTTGAGAATATGTCTTTCTCTATAAATACTGGCATTTTTATGGTTAGAAGAGCCAATTTTACCTGACATACTGAGGCTAGCTTACACTTTAACGCATATTGGTAAATCGAAGGAGTGTGGATAGCACTAGCTTGGCTGGAATCTTAGCTAGCACTAGCTTGGCTGGAATCTTAGATCTCGTAATTTACACAATCTGCTGTGAAAGAAATGGATAACGCTGTGCTTTCTATGCCCAAAGTCTAGATGAGAGATTCTGGCTATCAACTTTCAAGTTAATTTTTTACATGTCTGATTGGGAATAGGATTATAGTAAAGAAAATTCCTTTCATTTCCCTGTATTCTAAAATTATATTAAAAAGGGTCTATTGACTAATAAAAATTTGATAGTTGTTCGACGATGAATCAACAGATTTTCAATTTGCTTTACATATCTCTGATATTCTGTGATTGACATTACTTTACTAAAAAACCATGGCCTCCAGATGATTGCATTGACATGGGGCTGCATGAAAAGATTTGTGTATGCATGTTAATGTCTTGAAGTTTTGCATGATATTAAGGTTCTTAGATTCATAACTAACTGGTCATTGTTGCTTGCTCTATTATCAATGTGAGTAGTATTAAGATGTTATATACTGTTATTCACATTCATTCACAGGTTCAACTAGAGCCCACTTCCTCTTGGACGTCACTACGCAAATTGCAACATCCATGTAGATAGAGTTGGATTCTATCACAGGGATGATGAATGCTCTACTTTTACTTTCTAGCTATCAATTATCTGACCCCTGTTCTTTAATATTGCGTATAGGCGTGGAACCATGCTCAATATTCAAATACTGCTGCTGAAGAGAGCCTCTCGAGCTTTCAGCTTTTCCTGTGTGGGCTAGCAGCAGGAACATGTGCCAAGCTTGTCTGTCATCCACTTGATGGAGTCAAGTAAAGATTTCAGGTATAATTAAAATGAAAAATACTTCCTTAAACTTGTGTTGGCCTTGTGCTGGTTAAATGATGTCAAAATTGTTACGATGTCTTCGACGGGATATAACATATATGGATCTTTATTCTTTCTGTGATGCAGATTGAAGGTTTACAAAGGCATCCAAGATATGGAGCTCGGCTTAAACATCGTGCATATAAAAATATGTTTGACGGCTTGAAACAGATATTACAGATGCAGGGTTGGGCTGGTTTTTATAAGGGGATAGTTCCATCTACTGTTAAAGCTGCACCAGCTGGTGCTGTAACTTTTGTTGCTTATGAATTGACATCAGATTGGCTGGAGTCTATTTTGACTTGATTTTTTTTTTATACTCCAAGAGAAGGGAGAGGTTTTTATGTTATGTTTTCTCACTTAATTATCTCTTGATGATTTAATTCAAATATACAGCATTATCAGATAAGATTCAATTTATTTTAATGTGGAAATCAAGTTATACTAAACGTTCAAATGTTGCATAAGTGACACATTTTCCTTTTACTAAATGGTGTGCCTCAGCTACTGAGATGGTTACTATTCTTGTTAACGTGATTTCAAAATTCAAAATTTGTCCCAAGTTTCCAAAGCATTCCCTTCTTTGAGATTTAGCATACATTGGATTTTGCAACCATAGGCCTAACAAAGCAAAGACAAACTAATAATCCTTAGATCATAATAGCGAGGAACGTAATATGGATTGTTAGATGTTTTTATACGTAAGATCTATATTTTTGAGTCTGGTGTAGATTTCTATCTTTAGGGGGAAAATTATGATAAGAATATATTACATTTGTTCTTTATTATAAGTTGTTTTGAAAAAATATTTTGTATCGCAATATAAGATGTTTTATAATACTGAATCATTAATTTTATTTTTTCTATTATACTTTTAAATATTTATTATTCTCCTTTTAAATCATGTAAATTTGTCTTTCCAATATCATTAATGAAGAACAATTTTGTAAATTTTTTTATAATTTCTCTTTTTCATATCATAATTATTATATTTTTTAATGTGTGAAAAATAAAAAATAATTTATAATAAAAAAGGAAGTAGTAATAACTTTAGAAAGAAAAAAAAGATTTTTAAAACATATTTATTCTTAAACACAACTTTTATTTTTTATTGCCTCTGCATGATACAAGACATTACCTTTTATAGTTAAGGAGATACACAAAAGACAAGGATATTATTTACAAGCATGCCACAATAATTATTATTGGAAAGCTTTTTACAAATAGTCAGACACTTTTATGACTGAAGGGATATATTATTGTAGTACTTTTGTTTAAGAAGACAAAACACAACTATTCATAAACATGTTGACGCGTAATGAACATCCGTTAAATCAGTTTTTAATGACTTGGATATATTATGTTTAAAAAAACATTCCAATAATGCTTATGCTAACATGCTTGCAAATAGTGTCTTGCAAATGGTGTCTTTCCAGTCTTTTGTGCATCTCCTTAATTATAAAAAGGACATATTGTATAAGTTTGAGGCAGAAGCAATAAGAAATAAAACTTGTGCTTAAATATAAATATAAATATGTTCTAAAAATCTTTCTTTTCTCACTAAAAGTTTTAGTTATTATGTTCTTATCATAATTTTTCCATAAAGAATCAAGTATGCTCTACACTTGCCTTAAAAATGAAAATTGTGTGTATTATAAAACATCTAACTATCGATCCATACTAGAATCCTCACTATTATAGAATGTCAACTTTAATTGTTAATCTTTATTTAAGACTTTATTATGCCTATGATTAATTGTTTGTTGTCTTACTTGACGATACAATTAAGACTGATTTCATATAATGTGAGGCTGCCTTCATAACATGGTTAATATTCATCCTTTCTAACTTCAGAAACAAATGGATTCTGTTTTTGATATAGTGGCTTTCCCTGATGAAATTCAAGTTCAATATGTCTGGGATATTATCATACAGGGAAAGAATATAAACATATACTATATTGTTGCAAATCAAAATCTCAAATTTTGCTCTTTTTTAAATAGATATAAGAGAATTCAATAAAGCAGATTGTTGTGAAACACAGAAAAATGAAGACGATTTCAGCCGTTTGGTTACAAACCCTTATTACAACTCCCTTTCAAAAGTAAATTCCCATCACAAGAACAAATTTAATTGTTGATATTACAAAAGCCTTGACAAAAATCAAGTACTCGGCCTACACTAGCACTTCTTAATACAGTGATTACAGTTCAATAAAGATCTGAGGCTAGACTATGGCATTCACTTTTCTGTTGACGACGACTGAGTATACTTTTCATTGGGCAAAACTTAGTGCACACTACAATTCTATTTAGAGTATCCTTTAATCAAATAGGAAGCAATTATCAATGTTGTGGTAAAGCAATTTATCTTAGTGTTTTGTTCTTATCTTCGCTTCTTCCCTCTGGAGGATGAGACAGGAATTGCAAGATTTTCTGAATTTGAACAACCTCAACTCGGAATTTTTCTGCAATCTGATGAACGTCCATAGGCCCATTGTGATCATCGGCTTTTCCTTCATGCAAGAGGATGATATGGCGCAATTGTGCTACATTTAAAGTGCCTGCAGGAACCGGCCTTTCCTCGTATTGACCAGAATTTGGTTTTGTATTTCGCAACTTTGGCATGGGCCTATTACGCTTTTCAACCACAGATGCCTGTAACAATATCATAAAATAGTAAGATGAGTTTGTCTCAGTAAACTATACACAATAAAAAGCAAGTGTTGACATTTGAAACTGTTAGTCACCGGTAAGTGATAACTAAGTAATTTTGAAGACATTTAAAAAAGATAAAAATAAAAAGTTGTTAGGAAACTTTTGAAAGGGTCTATTTCTCTCTCTGTAAAATGAGTTAGATCCAAACAAATACCATGTGAGCAGCAAAGCTTAGTCTAGTCTGTTATGTTCCTACAACATTGTCCAAGTACCATGAATAAACAATGACAGAAACCATAAACCCAGCATTTACTATGATCAACAGTGGAGAGATTTCTCTATGTATTGGAATATAATAAACATAAAGTATACAACAACAATGTATTTCAAGCAAATGTTAATTAATTCATAACATACAATCAAAGATAGGATTACTTGGGCAGATTTCTTTTCATCAGAATTTTCTTTCAACTTAATACACAATAGAAAATTATGGCTTCATCCAATCTATGTAACCAACCGCACAAGGTTTGTTAGTTTATTGTTTTTGTTTCTATCTAATAGAATAAGTCTCCTCAGTCTTAAATGCTCTCTTCTCAGCTAGCATACAGAGATCCACATTTAATACTATTCCATCACAAAAGGATGAAGAGGAAATAAATAGTATGTATAAAAAAACTATACAACGTATGCATTAAAGAAACTATAAAATGGAAGAGTTCAATGGTGTAAACATCAAAATTGGTAAGAATACTCAATTTCAACTACACAAGAGGAGTAACTTCCACAAGCTCACCTCACCCATTTCAGGTTTCCCCCCAGGCTTTGATGTAATCCTTCCAAGCATTTGACCAAGCATAGCATCAAATTTGGGATCTCTTTCTTCTAGGATGTTGTCCAGATTAGCTTTAGGACGATCATCTTAAAGCAACAGATGAAAACACTATCAACAACCATGAACTATGAAAGTAGTATTACAAAACCTCAATTATTCCACAATGTATGGTGCTTCGGTTATAACTATTCCGCAATTTGATTGAAATTTGAAACAGTGTGTTTCACAAAAAATTTCAAATCCTCATTTTCTACTACCTATTTTCAGCAAAACCAATCAACAATTTTCTGTTGCAATGGCATAACCCTAACCAACCAACAGAAAACCCAAAGAAAGAGAGAAAGACTAACCGTCGTTCAAAGAGTCTAATTTTGCGGCGTTGGAGCTCTCCACCGCCTTGTCAGCGGCAACCTTGGACGGTGGTCGGTGGTCCAGGGTGATCTTAGGCTTGGCCAATGATGACGTGTCAGTTTCAGATGCGGAGCGGATTCTTCCAGATGCTCGACGAAATGCCTGACCCATTATTAAACTGAGGCTTGTTGTTGTGGTTATTTTTCTTCGCCGCGAACTTGAATTGATTAATTCATTGTAATAGTTATTGAAAATACCATTTTGGAAACAGGGAAAGTTTTTTCGTAGTAATAGAACTTGCGGCTTGTTCTTGTTGTTTGCAACCGAGAGTGACGTGGTCAGCCAAGAACCGAAGTTTCAAGAAACACCAAATTAACATTAATGAATGATAGGTTAATTAGGATTTTTTAATCTCCTATTTTATTTTATTTTATTTTAAATTTAAACAGTTTTAATTTTTTTATTTATATTTTTATATTTATTAATAATATTTTTATTTTTAAATTACTAATTTTTTGTGAAATGTGACAAAATCATCAATAAAAAATTATTATAGAACTTTATAAATTAAAAAATAAGTTACAAGACCAACATTGCATTGATTTTTTATAAAAAAAATATGAGAAAGAGATTAAAATTGTTCAAATTCAAAAATTGAAAATTAATTTTGTAAATTAAATAATATTTAGAAATCAAAATTATAATTTTGCCTAAATAATACATATTGATTTAAAAGTTTAAATGATATGCATTATAATGCAACATACTCTCATCAATTAAAAAAAACAATCATTTATCATGAAAGTTATTCTAAAATTTAAGTGTGAATTAGTAGAATATATGTCAAATGATTCTGTATAATTATTTTGCATATTTTATTTTCTCTTTATTTAAATATAATTATTAAGTAGATTTAAGTATATTTTATGATTTGGGCACTAGCGTGATAAAAGTCTAAACCATTTTTATGAGTCATACAAATATTTAGTTTTCTGCTGCTCAAGCTTTACAATTTCTGTTCTTCGCTCAACAAACTGAGTAGTGGTGAAAAATCTTTCTAAGAATTTGTCCTTTAACTTGTTTCATGTTCATATCGTTCTATTTGAAAGGCAAAGTAATCAGTCCTTAGTCCTTCTAATTAGTGAGAAATCAAACAATCGTAGTTTGACTTGGTCTTCTGTGACATCATCTGGTTTGTACATCGAAGTTGTTTCGTAGAAACGTGCAAAATGCGCTACGGGTCTTTGATCGCGTTCCTATCAAACAAATTGTCTCTTAAACTTGAAAGCACAGAATTCTTAATATCAAAGTTATCATAGTCTACCGGTATAAATCCTCTACAAACCTGTCTGTCGTCAGTTCATTTGCAGTAATCCCCCATAGTTTGGGGTGGTGCAACTGCCATGGTGATTTCCTCTTTTGTGTCCGAAGAAATCAGTGGGTGGTATTATACTAAAATCCTTTGAGCTAGAGTTGCTTATCTAACTGCTCTTCTAATAGCACGCACGATTCTTTCAGTTTCTGGATCAAATAATGTCAATGTCGATCATGAGTTATGCATACACAAATAGAAAACACATCAGTAGCACCATGGTTAACAAGAAAATAAAACAAAAATAAAAAACTAAAAAACTAAATGCTGCACAAGCGTTGCCTTGTTGAAATATCAATATAGTCTCCGACTACGGCGGCAAAAACTTGATGACTTCTCACCAATTGTACCGATAATGTCGCAGTAATAAAAAAATCGAATCCATAAAGACTGCTATTTAACAAGACAAATTGTGCAATTCGTAAAAAATAGTAAATTAGGGGGGGGGGGGGGGTTCGAGTTTGAAGTGTGAAAATAAAGTAAAGTGTTTAGACAATAATGAGAAAGCGGTCAGGTTATGTATAGAATCCCATATTTCTCTATTGTTGATGTTCGATGCATTATATGAAGGATATTGTCACTATAATCCTACAATGAATTAACAAAACCTCTATAACCAATCCCTTGCAATATAGATCACTAATCACTACTAAGAGTTTTCTATCCCTAGTCCACCAACGTATGCAGGATTAAAAAATGCAACAGTGCGTTAATTTACTAGCCACTACTAGGGGTCTCCTATCCCTATTCAACATGCGTTAGCAAAACAGTTGCCTTAAGTCCAACACATAGACTAATGGTCAGTGTTCCCTATGTGCCCAAAATCAGATTAAAAAAATATCTCACATAAAAAGCATTACGAACAATAAGCGATTGAATAGAATTATAGATTAAATTACTCATGTAATATCAAATCAAACACGTGTCCCAACGATATCAAAATAGGTTCATCAAACACAACCTAACCTATAGAGATTTAGCTACTCATAATTCAAATTACAATACCAAAATTAATCGAGAAGGCTTACATAAGAATTCCCTTGAAGGATTGGCCTCAAATGGCTCTAAATGATCTCAAAATTTACTTATGGTGTTGTAAACTCGTACTTGTTGTGTAGAAATTCGTAACCCTTAAAAAAATGTGTAATCCCCTTTAAAAAGCCTTCATAATGGATCCGAATACATCAGAAAAGTCTAGAAAAATGAGTCATCGCGTGCGTGATGACCTGCATCGTATGTGATGCAGCTGATACATCCATATCGTGCGCGTGATGTTGCACGATAATGCGCATGATTATTCTAATAATTGCACGCTTTTGCTCCCTTTTCACCTAATTTTCACTAAGTACCTATTTCTTCACTCTTAGCTATTTTTTCACATTCTTTGGTCTTTTATTCTTCATTTTCTCCTCTTTAACTTGTTTTGGTTCGTTTCTTCGACCAAAATCATGTAATGATGGGATGTCATCAGTTTTTAAAACAATAGTTGTAGAAGAAGAAACCAACAAAAGAATCTTTTAAAAGAGGCAAACCATCAATCTCTTTCTATGACAAAAACTAGTCAACCGTACATCAAAATTTCATGTGATACACAAATATCTAACATAACACAAACCATAGTAGTTTATGTTAAAATGTTTAGAAAGTGAAGCTCTCCCCAATCGCTAAAATTAGGGTTTCTCCCTCTTGAAGAGTGTCGCCTCCCCTCCCACAGGGCCCCTCCTCCGTCATCAGAGTTTTCTATCGCCAATATGGTGGTTCTCTCCTCACCAATGAAGGTCTATCCCCTACTACAAGTCTTCCCCTCGCCATGTTCACTTTGACGAATCGCTCATTCATGCTGCTTTCCTACCCGTTTGTTAACCCTAATCCGCATTAAGAGTTTCTTCCACCCCGCCAATAACCACTAGAAGATTGTAACTCCAAAATCATCTCATCCAACTGACGGTTCAAAGTGGTTCGAATATGAAATTTGACCCCCACCAGAGCCTCCACCATCAGAAGATATGAAATCTCTGAGGTCATGTGTTTGATTCGTAAAATAAATAAAAAATATGTTGTAGCTTAGCGATAAAGAAGATGACTAATTGCCAACTCAGTTGCTACACGTACATAAATAAACGTCATTCGAGTAAAATTGACGGAAAAAACTTTTAAAATATTATTTAAATAATTAAAAGTTATAATTGTAGAGTAACTTATAAAAATTTATTCTTGAAATAAGTTTATCTCAATCTATTATAAATGTAAAATAAATAAAAAATATGTTGTAGCTTAGCGATAAAGAAGATGACTAATTGTCAACTCAGTTGCTACACGTACATAAATAAACGTCATTCGAGTAAAATTGACGAAAAAAACTTTTAAAATATTATTTAAATAATTAAAAGTTATAATTGTAGAGTAACTTATAAAAATTTATTCTTGAAATAAGTTTATCTCAATCTATTATAAATACAATATATAATCTATCCAACGCGACACAATCTGAAATAATTGTGAAATAGACAGCAAAGAAAACCTGAATTCTCAAATGTTGAAATCACAGAGCTTCAAACCCATCTTTCTCAACCTCACAACAATACTCTTTCCAATCTCAAAATTCAATTCTCGTTACTCTTCGACCATTTCACAACAAAACCAATTCACCGTTTCATATCTCGTCGCCAATTTCGGTTTCTCTTCAGAAACCGCTACAAAGGTATCAAAACGCTTTCATTTTGACACTTCCGAAAAGCCAGATTCAGTAATCGCCATCTTCAGAAACTACGGTTTCTCTGATTTCCAGATAAAGAACCTTGTTAGACAAGCACCCAACATTCTTAAATGTGACCCTAACAAAAGGGTTTTGCCAAAGTTTCAATTTTTACTCTCAAAAGGTGCTTCAAATTCTGACATTGTGGAGATTGTAAGCAGAAGCCCTAGAATTCTCTACTCAAGTCTTGAGAATAGCATAATTCCTACTTTTGAATTGGTAAGAAGGTTCCTTCCATCTAATGAGAAAGCTATTGAACGAATACTTCAATGTAAATTTTTCTTTGGTCATTATCAGTTTATTAGGAATGTCAAGTTGTTGCTTGATGATGGAGTAACAGACTCAAATTTAAGACATTTGTTACTCAAAAGACCGTCTATATTATTATCTCATGACATGAGGAGTGCTTTGGATATGGTTAAGAAAATGGGATTTAATGATCCTTCTAATGTAAATTTTTGTACAGCATTGTTAGCTAAAAGGGCCATGTCGAAATCCCGGTGGGATGCGAAAGTTGTTGTCTTTAAGAGATGGAGTTGGTCTGATGAAATGGTTTTAGAAGCGTTTAGGAAGCGGCCCTCGTGTATGCTATCATCCACAGAGAAGATTAATAAGGTCATGAGATTTTGGGTGAATGAGTTGGGTTGGAACTCTTCGGCTCTTGTTAAAAGGCCAGATATTTTTCAGTATAGTTTGGAGAAAAGGATCATTCCGAGGGCTTGTGTTGTTTCATATCTGATCTCCAAAGGTTTGATTGAAAAGAATGTTGAATTGTCTACCCCTTTTGCTGTTAATGAAAAGGTGTTTCTTGAAAAGTATGTGCAATGTTTTAAAGAGGAAATGCATAATTTGTTAAAGCTATACCAGGAGAAAATGGATGGTAAGAAAATCAAGGAAAATGGTGAAGCGCCGGGAAGCTATTGAATGGTTAACTTGTAAACGCAAATTGTGTAATGCAATGTACTTAGTTGCAATTACTAAACTGTATTAATGTTTCATTATGGCGGGGTTGGAAATTGGAGCCTTTTGTTCATGGATGTATTCTTCAATTCTTGTTATAGCTGTGATCTTGTGATGTATATCAACTATTTGATGCTTTATAAATGATTGAACCAAAGGACAAGGTACCGAATACCGATTCTTGAATAGCCAATGGTTATTTGTAACCTAGCTGAATGTCGATGCTGTTGTTGCTGCCTTTGCTAGAAATGTTAATGAACCATCCTTAGTTATTTGATTTGTTGAACTTATCTTTGGGTTTTTTACTATTCCAACTATTAGTATGGTGCATATATGGTATCACGGTGAATAAGACAAAGCCACAGTGGCACAGTGATTTTGTAGATGCGCTTTTACAACATCAAGATGACTCGCTGTGAATTATCAAACGAAGCACAAAAACTCCCAGAAGCTTTACATGCTTTCCTGTCAAAGGCTCCTACTTTAGATCGGTAAGTAATTCTTTTAAGTACTTTTCCTGTGGCTCTCTACACCTTGTTGTTTTAAGGGAACTGGTATTCTTCTAAAGATTTCATGTAGCAGGTTCTTGTTGTTTTAGTAACTCCCTCTAGTAGTATAGTTGCTGATGTGTTTTTCCCTGCTGCTAGTGCATCATCATCTACTTTCATGTAGTGAAATGATAATTTCTATAGTAAAGCTCATTATACTAGTAGTGTTTAACTACTCTCCAAAATTGCTACCTAGTCCCTTGATGAGTTGATGTCTTCAAATTGCCAAAATTTTCAAAAATGCTTTAGAGGCTAAACAGAGCTGAGTCCTAAGCTAAGAAGTCATATACATATTACAATACAGATGCATGAAAAAAATTTACGGTATTTTCATGAAGGTCACATCACTAGTTGCTAATCAACTAATAAACATATCAATAGTCAATATATGACGATCACAATTTAAAAAATTAAACCAGTACTTGTTGTGATCATAACACAGGCAAATTTACATATATTTTCTACACCAATATCGTAATATATTATGTCTACAATGAACGTGTCTCAAAAACATACAATTTTATGTCTTTAGTTAGTAAGACATGTCGAAGACAGGTGTATCCAAAAGACAAATGTGTCTTTAGTTGACAAGAAGTATCAAAGATGTATGGACAAGTATTGGTGAATGGTGATGAAGCTCTCGATAGGATGTATTCAGCTCAAACTAATGTGATGGTTCTAACCAACTTGTAGTATCCTGACCTAATTTATTATTCGACCTAAATTATTATTCAAAGATACAAATTTTTATAAACTATTTTACATAAGGGTACACGAGTCAATTTGCAAGGATTAATATACAATCCAAAGTCATTATATTAGTAGTTATTGTTTAATCAAATTGTTATTTGATTATATACCATGCTTAAGGCAAAGGGCACAATTGTTATTTGTCTTGCAAGTTATCTTCACTTGTATACAAGCTCTATTCTCCACCATATCATCAATTGAAGGAAGTAAGAACCATTTTATGGAATTGCCTGGAACGACTCCCAAATTCCTTGTATGATTGGAATTGGCATGATCACATCTCAAATAAATGAGGAATATTCAAGTTTAAAAGATTGGAGCATAAGGAAGCAAGCTTGAAGCTAAAGTTACATTAAGCAAGAGAATAATAATCATCATCATCATTTCTCTGAAATTATGCATGTTGATGCAAATTTTCTTATATATCTTTTATCTTAGTTATGCTAGGTTCTTAGTGTAACGCCCCGATTCTGATTTCTCCTTTTTGTTGAGTCTTTTATTTTATTTGGGTGATTATTATTTTATTTGTGGAATTGGTGTGTTAATATGTTATGTTTGCATATTGTGTTATTTTATCGTTTTTGAAAATTTTCGGGAAAATTAGGTTGGAGGGTATTTTAGATATTTCTTAATTAATGTTAAGTTAGATATTTTGTGAGAAAATGAATTATTCGATATTTTGAGAGAAAGTAATAGAAAAGAATTAGAATAGAAAGATATAAGAGAGAAAGAGGAGAGAAAAGAAAAAGAAAGAAGAAAAAGAAGAAAAAGAAGAGAAAGAAAGAGGAAGAAGAGAAAAGAGAAGAAAAAGAGGAAAAGCTTGGAAATCTTCAAAACAACTTCTAGGAATCGATTTAATCGGGTAAGAGTGTGAAATCTTATTATCTCATCAATGTATATCATTATGTATGTGTTATTTGGATTGTTTTGGTTGTTTTTTTTTACATATTTCCATTTTAGGTCGAATTGGTTAAATCGATAGAAACCGATGTTTTCACGGTTAAAATTCAAAATAAATTGCGTAGTTTAGTCGAGGAATGTTAGACCGAGACTATTGGAACTTGTTTGATTGAAATCGGGTGATTTCGTGGCTTTTTGACATTTTTGGATAATTGAGGGTTTGAGTAGCGAAGTATTCGTTAGGCGAATCACTAGCGAGTGAGGTAGCGAAGTGTTCGCTAGGCGAGCACACAACGAGCTACCAGCGAACACTCCCAGACTTGGGCAGAATCAAAAAGACCAAAACCCGCTGGAGCGAGTGATGTAGCAAAGGACTCGCTAGGCGAACCATTCTGCTCGCCTAGCGAGCATGACAACACAACATTTTTATTTCTTCTATTCTCATCCAATATCGATTCTTCGACTTGGATGTTGTTCAACCTTCTCTCGAAACGTGTAGCTTGTGTGCTGTTATATGATATGTTGTGGGTAGCCGTATGGCGTCAATCCTAGATTGTGGAATTTATTGTGAATTGTGGCCTTTTGGCAAATATATGCATTGTTTAAATTAAATGTAAATGTATGATAATTGTGATAGAGTTCGTTGCCGTTTAGGTGGTAAAGCGATGCTCGTTGCCGTCTGGCGTAATTGGTGTGAATGTATGTGATAGTATGAGATGAATGCATGAATATATTGTAAATATGTATGCATTTCAAGAGTGTCTTGAGTCATTTTGTATGTGAAGCATAATGATGTACATTCTTATGTTGTGTGATTCTAATGAGAATCTGTTGTAACGTCGTGTGCCTATGTGAGGTGTGAGCGATGATTACAAACGATTGTGTGCCTATGTGAGGTGTGAGCAATCGGATTGTGTGACTATGTGAGGTGTGAGCAATCCATAAACATTGTGTGCCTATGTGAGGTGTGAGCAATGAGTGAACATCGTAGGCCCGACGGGGAGTTACATTGGTAACGAGCGATGGTTCCAATAAGTTCCTGAGTGAACTTGAGATGATTGAGTCGGTACCGCATTGCATTTGCATAGAGTCGTGAGTCGGTCTCTATAATTTGCATTTCTATAATTTGAATTTATTATCTTTATAATTGTGCATTGGTGAATAAGCATAAATGTGTATGTTTATGTGGAATGATAAGAATTGTGAAAATATGCATGATGAATATGCTTATATATATATATATATATATATATATATATATATATATATATATATATATATATATATATATATATATATATATATATATATATATATATATATATATATATATATATATATATATATATATATATATATATATATATATATATATATATATATATATATATATATATATATATATATATATACATTGTGATGTATATGAACGAGTATATTCATGCTATGTGTATTTTATGCTATGATATATATAATTATATGTGTTGCACCCCAAAATTTGCCCAACCTTTTCTAACCTAGGTTTATGTTTCAATTGCATAGTCATTTGCATTGTCATCATGTACATAGTGTATTCATCTGCATAAGCAAGCTATCTTAATCAGGGGATCAAGTGCTGTTCTTATTTCAAGAGGTATATCCAAGGGTTTCATTCATATTCAAGACTACTCAGGTCATCAGGGAAGAATTTGAGCTTTGAAGAGCTGCCAGGTTGATCAGTGAATTCTCTCCTATCGTGAGGCTAGTGGGGGATCATCAGAGGAAATGTGAGCTATGAGCCAAGAGCATGAGGTGTGTATGGATGTTATGAAGAGTCTAGAGAATCATTTTTGAGGAGAACCAGGTCATTTGAATGATTGCAGGAGCCTCAGTTGAAGTCAGTCAACTAGGGTCAACACTGGGTTAATTCTAGGTCAAAGAAGTGTTTTGAAGGGCATCAAGGATCATTTGAAGAATGGGGGATTCATTATTTGCTAGGTGGATATGGATATGATGTTATGATAAAGAAAAATCAAGAGGAGTCAAGGAGAACTGGAGTTACTAAATTAGGGTTTTATTGTAAAATCCCCTGATTTAGGTCAAACTTCAAAGCAGTGTAACTCAAGATGCAAGCTTCATATGGATTCTTGGTCCACATGAAACTTGTAGAATATCTTCATAGCTTTAATTTGAGTGGTGGAAGTCATCAAGATGATTTGTAGAACTCAAGTTATGGCTCTTGCAAGTTACAGGCCATCTGAGGGCACTGAAATTTGTCTGTGAAAATTGTCTGTATTCCAAGCAACTTTTGACTTTCAAGGGTACTTCAAATGGATTTCTGGCCAACATGAGAATTGTTCCTTATTGTCTTAGCTTTCTAGAATGGTATGGTATGCCTTCATATGATTTATGGAACTCTACTTATGGTCTTGGCAAACAAAGGGTATTTTGGTCATTTGAGGATTACGGGTCATTCTTAGTATATGCCTAAAGCTCATACAAGGAAGCTTCAAATGAAAAACTTCACAACATCAAAGTTGTTCAAAATGGGATTTTAAGGCTATAAAAGTAGGTGTGAAAGTTTGGAAAAACTTAGAGCATGGAATTTTAAAATTGGTGCAAATGACTTGAAAATGGCTTATAAGTTGAAAAAGTTGAAATGAAAAATTGGTTTGAGAGATCTACAAATCCAATGTGGGTCATCCAATATACCAAATTGATTCCAAACATCATTTTAAAGACATTGGTTCAGCCACTTTTTTGAGTTAGGGTTTAAAAATTGGACTT